TACACATATATGTATATTTATCCTTCTATTTATTATTGATGGAGGGGATGAATCCGACGCATGCGCACAACGTTCAAAGTACGCTGAGAAAGAGAGAGAAGTATATTCTCGCACCGTGGTTCTGGGATATGGACTTCTCTCTCATCTAGCCATATAGTAGTATTACATATATGGGGGGAACGCACTTGCTTCGCTCGTGCTCCCGCGCCCGCGTCGCGCAACTTACCACACACGTTACACAATGTACTATTTCATCACGCGTGCACGTAACGTGCTCTATACCTTAACGCTTTTGCATGCGGTAAATAGCCAATACCTCAAGCCGTTGAGTTATTTCTCTAATCCCACTCTTCTGTTCAAAAACGTTGCTGTATAGGGCACATGTTCCGCCATGTTATTCTTGAGCTTGATTCAGCCAATGGGCGCGAACACGGTGAATGGCCAGACCACAGATGTCTATTTACTAGAGTACGCATTGTAGGAGTGGGGGTAATTCTATCTAGAAAAGGACGCACTCATTTGGGCTAGAATAAATTCCCTAGATGATTTCACACGCGGGACTGAGAAATAAAAAGTATTGTGGCCCCGTCGTCAGACCATGGATGGTCACCGGTCCTGACTAAAAATGATACGAAATCCCCTCGCAGCTCGGAGCACGTGTTGCAATTTATGATTGGTCGCGCAGAAGAAAGTATCGAGGAACACTTCGCGCACTTTTCGAAAAGATGCGGCAAACCGAGTTGCAGACAATGACGACGAGCTAGATAATATTCAGAACGCGCACGTGGTTCTTCTGAATTATAACAATCGTTACAAAGTGTCGTTCGATTAGTACGATGTAAATAGAGCTGCGATATTACACAGAGTGCTTCATCAACCCACGCGCGGTAAAAGTACTTTTTCATGTGCAGCACGCTGCAGCAGCAATTCGTTACTATTGGTAAAGAATTTTATGTAAGCTAGATGACGCACTTCCGGCGCAAAATACATTTTGCCGCAGTTCGTTGAAGTTGAACCGAACGAACAGCAAGCAGCAAACGGCAAAATCGAGGCAATATTATTTATTGCAATAAATATTAGGAAAATAAACGAAGAATGGCTTCGGATAAGGTATGAATGTTTGTAAATTAGATTATTTTATACTTTACACTTTACTTTTTCAAATTTGTGGTAAAGTATAAAATGATCTAATTTACAAACATGTATCCGTACCTTATCCGAAGCCATTTTTCATTTATTTTCCTAATATTTATTGCAATAAATAATATTTTCATAATGAAACGACGGACATATTGTACGCTTTCTCGATTTTGCCGCTTGCTGCTTGCTGTTCGTTCGGTTCAACTTCAACGAACTGCGGCAAAATGTATTTTGCGCCGGAAGTGCGTCATCTAGCTTACATAAAATTCTTAACCAATAGTAACGAATTGCTGCTGCAGCGTGCTGCGCATGAAAAAGCACCTTAA